ACATTTAAGTGTGACAAACATGCAAAAAAATAAGAAATCAGGAAGGGAGCAAACACTTTTTCACACAACTGTATGTCCCAAAATGTCAGTCCTTCCTTGCTCCCGCATTCTCGTCCTCTCGTCCACCTATCACAAAGGAAACAAAAGGCTTTTTTTCATTTTCATTTATTCACTTATTTTTAATCTATTGTCTAAATGTGATTGCTATTTTACTCATTCACTTATTCATTATGTTTAAGTTGTCTTATGTCATTCTATTTTGTTAATGTACATTTTATTTCACGCTTTTTGTATTGCTATAACTGCTATTATAGCTTTCAATTCTAAAATATACCGTCATTTCCCATCTTCCCAGCAGAGGGCGCTGCAGGATCACATGTCAGGTGCGGTCATTATTGAACACTACAGAGGATGGCGCTGTTATCTGTTTATATAATGTCCTGAGTAAAGCATGGACTGGAGTAGCAGGCATATCAAAAGGCAGAGAATTATTCTCTTGTGTTAACACATATCATATCCTGCACCATCTACGTCATCAAGGACAAGCACGTGGAATCCTTCTGCGGGTTTAAACAGTCCAGGAAACCTCAAACACAACTGACGCGTTCACTTGTTGCTGTCACACTTGTCCATCCTCTGAATGAAAGAGTTTTCTGACAGTTTTCACTTCTCCTTTTATGCTGGGGTCAACACCAGCATGATCCAGGACAACAAACCACAACGTTTTTTTGTTTTGTTGTTTGAGCCCTATTGCCACATGGGAGGTCAGCCCCCTAGTGTGGTGCAATGAGAATATATGTAAATGAGACTACCGTGCCCTGACCAGACAGAACGAGATTTAACCAGCCTGCGCCTGACTCCGGCTCGCTTACCTCCAAACCTCACACATGTGTAACGACAGACTCCAGCCGCGCGCCAAGAGAGGAGCTCGGATGTGTTGACGGAGAGGGCCCTCGACTCTCTGAGTCTCTGAATGAAATCATGTTAGGTTCTCATAGTGCAACATTTATTTTTAATTATATCTAATGTGAACTTTATGGAGCAAGGCCTACTTTGACAAAGAAAAAAAATACTACTACTCTAAAAATAGAGCTGGTGGTTTTGGGGGGGGGGGGTTGCCTTATGAAAAAGACTCCTTTTTGAATTCCATATTGATACAATGGATTGGATAAAAAAACATAATGCAAGACAGGTTTATTTGTTTGCATATGTGATATCACAGTCGAGATCACAAGTGTGGACAAACTGTAGGAGGACAACACATGTAAATAATAAACCGCGACAGTTTATAACCACGGGACACAGCGTCACACACACACCTACACATGTCTGATCTCAGATGTCTTAGAAGTTGAAATCCAGACACTGACTGAGTCCGAAAACCGGATGGCGTTCACGAATAGACACACAGATAATAAGGCTTTGAAATCTTGTTTGTTAATAACAACAAGGGCCCGGATCTAGGCCAAGTGTCTGGAGTGACTGATCCAAGGACACTTGACGGGCCCAACAGTGCATAGATAGGTGAGATAACAGATTACCGTCATTTCAGGTCGGACATTGAACTTTTTTTTTCTTGATATACAATAAATAAAAATTAAGATTGTAGGTGATGTTTGTCTACTGTGATGATGGCCGTCCACTTGTCATGTAATGCATATTATGGATGTGCATTGTGGGCACGACGTGATGATGCACTTTGTCACAGTGATAAATGTGCAACTGTGAAACAACACAACAAAGCTGATAACGGGAGTTTAGTCGCGATCGCACACTTCCACAAACCGATGCATCTAAAGCACCGAAAGGGCAAAAATACATTTGTTTTTTCCCCCCCAATTCCAACGTGCACTTTCACAAACAATGAAACGAGGTGACTTAGCACAAACTGCAAATCAGCACCGATGCTACTTTTATCAGCATTAAATGATGTGTACATGTTTCTGTGGGTTTAGCAGAGACATGAAAGGCACGAGAGGGAGATAGTGTTGCTGGGTAAAGACTCAAACGCCCTTCGGAAAGAAGAAAAAGCCTCCCCTGAATGACTTTACAGGCTTGTGTACTGTCTCCACTACACACCAAATCCAGTATTTTTCCATCAAGTATCGCGCTGGACCACGTGACCATAAAGGAGGAAAAAAAAGAGAAAAGAAACGCTGTCATGTTTGCATCCTCAATTGACAGCGGTGCACACCGTGTATGGTTCTCAATCAGCGACATTCAACACTACATTTCTGTCTTCTGCTGCTTAATGACAACGTTTATTTATAGAGTCCGCCGCTCCACTTTCGTATTGTTGCCCATTCGGGGGAAACAAACGTCTCCAGGTCGCTGTTCTAACCCCGTGCGTTTCGTGATCGTGTAACCACTCCCACTCGTGGCTGGTGGAAAATTACCAGCTTACAAGCAACAGGCAAATGAATGGTACTTGCGGGTTTTGTCACAACGTTCAACCTAACAGTGTACCTGCACGAGGCAGGCACTTTCCTCTCGGGACATATATTGCGTTTAAAAGTGGCAGAGCCTTCACAGAGAGTCTTAAGTGGATTAAAAATCATTAAATGGCAATAATGTTTACACGCACGTGCGGTATTGTTGTGCGGCGTTTATATGAATGGAGGTAATATTTAACTTGACCCCTCGGTAGTAGCGATAAACAGTGTCCGCTTATTTATTTCCTATTCTCATAAACGGAGTCATGTAGAAGTCCATTCTGCATGGGAGTCTGCCCTCTTTTTCTCTTCGGGCGGAGTAGTCGCGTGGGCGCTTAAGCGAATTGAAATAAACTGACAGGTCCGTCACGCAATGGAACGCCGACAATGAAGTCTCGGCCGAAGCCGCGGCCAATCACGGTGCGATGTGGGCGTCAACCCAGTCCAAACTTTACGCGGCGCCATCGGCTGAAAACTAAACCGAGATGGAATCTCCCAGTCTGAACCGGTTTCAACCGGTTGCGAGTTAGTTGCTTGGGAGAGGATAGGAGGCGCAGGCACACAACCTCTACACCGCCCCGCTGGAAAATTGTTAAGAGTAACGAATTAATTAGTGAATCAAGGTTTACTTTGTTTCGTAAAATGTTTCGGAGTAACATATTGCTGGGTTTGCCGTGATAGTAGTTTTGGAAGCCACACCAGTGGTCCTTACCAGTCAGACATCACCCACTGCTGGAGCTGGGGATAGTCAACGCTGCAGAAATAGGAAATCTTGTCTAATCAACAGTGATACTGAAGTACTCACTAGACCTTGTAGCTTCTCTGTCAAACACCACTCTTTTCAGTCAGAGCCTCGGACTTTAGGTAGGTAACTGGGGTGAAGTGAAAACCTGCCATGCCGTGATTAACGTTTCTTGGCTTTAACTGTACAACGAATAAAATGCATTTTGGTTTTGGTATTAAGTTGTGCTGTATTATAGTGTACGTAGCCCGTCATAATGCGCCTAGAAGAGACATGCTAATTAAGAATGCAATAGCATCAGTGGGGACAGCCAATAGCCACCGACTGCCCGCTAGCTAGCATTCAACGTTAACACTTTAGGAGGATTAGCTAACGTTGGCTGTCATAGAAAGTGCTGCAACTTAACTAAAAGCACAACTGACCGAGGCGGTCTCTCGTAACGTTACGTGCGACGCCACAGATGAATAAATTCAAATTAAATCTGTGCCTCTCCCACCACAGTAGCATCCCTCGCGTGTCTATGATGTCAAGTTGATGCTGCTAGGTGAGGGCACTTGGTGGTAGCCAACGTTAACTTCAGCCTCTACGTAATGTAACTGTTAAAAGCGTCTGAAAACGGAGCTATTGGGACAAACCGTTGCCAGTCCTCCTGGAGTGTAGCCACAACACGAACTGCCAACCTCCCTGAACAGTGTTGTTAAATGTCACCGAGTAACGTAAATGTATGGGCGACCTCCGTCTCTGGCATCCTCGGTGGGAGTGGTTGTAGGACCACATGTGAACTGTTTGTGCGACACACTGCTAACAGCTAGCTGTAAATACAGCGTAAATGCTAGCACTTGGTGTGGAGTGTGCTGGTGCTGGTGCCGCGTGCACGTTGTTTACGTTGGCTACGTTATGGGTAATGCTAGTCATTGTGAACATTGTAGTGAGCTGCTGCGTTATTTATTATTATTTTGGATCACATGATCTGCTGCTTGTGTTGCGGTTGGTGTTTGGAGGAGTGAACTCTCACAGATGTAAACAACGTGACGTCGCCCAATATATCCGGCACGTGGCTCGGTTAACCTTCTTAATATGGTCGTAGAAAGGAGTGCTTGATTAGTAGAGGCACAGTTGAAGCACTGCGCATTAACTGCGGTTTATCTAGAAGTTTCAATCTGTTGTTAAACCATCGAGGAAATCTCTTTGACTTTTAAGAATGGTGCACTCAGTCCTTTATAAATCAATATTAACCCATTTTTGGCAAAATAGTGTGTTACCAGTCTCCTAAAACCCCTCCCATCACCAATGAAATAACATTTCCCTGCTGTTTTCATTCTTATGGTAACAGTTTATTTCCATATTGCAGTTTTTGAAGAACTGATGACGCTTGTCTTCCCTTTGCACGCTATTAGAGCAGTGACAGACTTGTGACACAATGAGCTTTACTTCTTAACAGGACTCCCGCTGGTGGGTCTGGAGGATGTTTGTTTAGTAGTCAGTCAGCTGTTTGGAATTGTTTCTAAACGCACAGTTCACATGACTTTGCCTGTTGAATGTGTTCTGTGCACTCATGACCCCTCCCTCCGCTGTCCTTGTTGCAGAGCTCTATGCCAGCAATTATGACAATGTTAGCAGACCATGCAGCACAGCAGCTGCTGGACTTCAACCAGAAACTGGATATCAACCTGCTGGATAATGTGGTGAACTGTCTATATCACGGGGTGGGACCACAGGTACGTTGTGAAGCATTTACAACTGCTTTATAATCCATCTAATACAAAATCTGTTGGTTTGTCGCAAATGTATAATTATGCGGTGACTTTTTAATGTTCTCTTTAACACACACCTGAATTAAAACGCACTATGTTAATTATTCTTCTGCTGTTCTATTCACATGAAGGCTGCAGCGCAGTCGTGTCTAGAAATTGCTGTTGCCCATTTGCAGTTGTCTCGGTGTTGCATCTAAAGTGTCGCTCAAATTTTGTATTGCAGCAAAGGATGGCACAGGAAGTGTTGACGCACTTAAAAGAGCACCCGGACGCCTGGACGAGAGTGGACACCATCCTCGAGTTCTCCCAGAACATGAACACCAAAGTAAGCACACCGCGGTTCAGAAAACACTGGTGGACAGACACTTGCCTGTGCTTTGAGGAAGTGTAGTCTATCACAAATACAAAATTGTTAAATTCAAAAAAAATACAGCAAAAACATTAAAACACTAGGTCACAGTGGTTTGCTGACAGCATGCTTTAAATGATATAAAATCAGCTTTTTAAAGCAGTTTTATGCGCTGTGAGTGCATATTGTTAGGAGCACATGGCCCCAGAAGAGGTCGAATAAGTATTCCTGGCTGTGTTGGCACCATGCCCAAGCTCTTGAGCCATGCAGGACCTCTGTCCCTCTGATTAAAGGAATGCTGTTCTGAACCTTCCAGATGATCAATTGACTTTGCCCATCAGCTCCTGGTGATAATATAATACAGTACAAAATAAGCCTTTTAACATTCTGCCCAGTTGGGCCTGAATGGGAATGAGCCCCGTCTTTCTCAATCATTGTATAATATGGTGCAGGAGTAATGCCTGTCATGTCTGTAATTCGCTGCAACATCTTGGAATGCAAAATGCAAATTTTTGATTATTAATCGAGAAACGTTGCAAAATAAACATACATGTGTGCATTCAAGCATACATCTGTATAACTTGCATGCTTTATGGCACATGGATTAGATGAGACTAAAAGGGCTGTAGCTTACAAATGTTAACGTCAAGAAGAAAATGAGCTGCCCTAGTCCCCTAACTAGTTAGATGTATGAGCACATCTGCATGGCCAGGGGTCAGCTGTATGTGCAGGTTGTTACTGTAACTCCTAAGGTCTGGTTTGTCAGGTAAACGTAGAAAAGTTAAGAAACATCTGCAGGCAATAACGTTTAGTTTGAGTGAACTCTTACTTCCAGCACGCCATCAAGCTCAACGACACCCTTAACCCTTAAGAGTAAAGGGTGTTGCCGTACAAACACATCATGATCTCTGATCAGCAATGGCCATCCCAATACATAGGATATCAAATGCAGTATGCCAAAAAAAAATACTAGGACGTCCAACTGCATCCGGCCGCATTTTGCTGTATGCAAACCAGCTATTCTTCCAATCTTCTGCACAGTGGTTTTATGAGCAAGATGGTCAAAGTTCAAGGTCCCAATTGAGTGCATACTGCGTGCAACAGTACGCACTTTTTAAGGGTGGCTGCAGTTGCGTACTGAAAGTAAAAAGTATACGATTTAGAACGCAGCCCATGTGTCCTGATTTTTCAAATGAATAACCGCGTCAGATCGATCATCAACACCTCTGGCTCCCCTCATCTGTTATTTGAAGATCTTAGATCCATGTTGTTCCTCACAATATGTCCACAGATAAGTGCACACTCATCCCCCTTCTGTGCACTGATACAGCTGATTAAGCAAACTGCCTGTGAATAGTGAACCCAGTGATTCACTTTCCAGACACATTCAGGGATTCACAATTGTATTTACAAAAAATTTGGCTATTCTTTTTAAAACAATCAAGCCTAATCCATAAATGTAATGTCCATAATGGGAAATGAATCCATGTACCGAGTATGAAGTGAAGTGCAATGCGTCCATGGCTTCCTCAAAGTACACATCTTGACATTTGCTTTTTTTTTTGTTTCATTTTTTGCTTGCCTGTAAGAGTGCTTTTAACACTGACATTCATTACTAATGTCTTAAGTTGAGTCCTAGTTTTAAATTTGTGATTTGCCAAGAAAATGGGCATTAGAGGAAAAGAGGAAACAACCGGTAAACGCCTCTTTAATTCTGCATTTATAAAAAATAAAAAAGTGCATCATTTCGAAGCACATTTGAACATTTGGCTTTTCTTAGCAACTGCAGTACTAGTTACAATATTTGCAAAAACAACATTTTTTTTTTTTTTTACTGAATTCCAGCTGTGACTATTTGATATTAATCCCAATGTTCCATTATGTTTATGGCTTGTAATAGGAAGAAAAGGGGTGTGTCATCCTGTGCGTCATGACACAGCTAGGCTTTGACGGCAGGCCTCCACAAGGTCTACCCTTTTTTGAATTCCCTTTGACTGAATTCTGTTCATCTATTGCATCTGTTTCATTGGACAGAGGGAGGGTGCAGGCTGCAGTCAGTAGAGAGACACACACATCAGTTGACGGCTTAATTTCACCTGTAGGGATCATGGCACCCTTCTCTCCTCTTTACGGTGCATCCTCTTCCTCTTCAACCCCTCTGTTCAGCCGAGACTCTTTTGACTTAACGAGCATTCGCCCAGCGGAAAAAAAAGAAAAAAAAAAGTCGCAAAGCATTCGGTGCAGTTTGTTGCTGGTAATTTGCCCCGTCCTGCATCTTGTGGTGGTTTTGTGCTAAGTGTGGCAGTTAAAGGTGAAACAATGGTCACCGGTGCACAGTCGCTGCGCCTGTGATGAGATTTCACCTCTAATCTTCCGGCATCCATCGTCCCGCTTTAATAACACCCTGTTTTACATGCCATTTATTCTTTGCTTTTATTTTGGAATCATTGTAACTCTGGAAATGATGATCCCTACAGTTGAAACAGTCAGTTGAAGTAAAAAAAAAAAAAACTAACTTGTAAATAAAATGTTTTTTTTGTTTTTTTTCCCCCATCATGCTTCACTATTAAGCAGAAATTAATACAGGGCATAACCTGTGGTTGGTCTTGCTGTTCCTTTATGACACACCAGTTAAAGGGATCTGATTGAGGCTTGCCTTAGACTTTATCCATAATCTATACTTTAGTTGATTGACTCACTCGCGTGGTCTAGGGTTGGGTATCGATGACATTTTCTTGGTTTGGATTCTGTTCGTCAATTCTAAATTGTTCGTTTATGGCATCTGATAAATATAAGTAACCGAATAGTGAAAGCAAAAAAAAACCCGCCTTTATTTAGGCTACAGTTAAAAATCATTTGTCATAAACAGGGTATTTTGTTATAAAAAATATTTTTAGGAAGAGAAAATGAGATGAACATTTCCATAATATTATCCCGGTTTTGTTTGTTGGATTTATAAAACACCTTTATTTAAGCTACAATAAAAAGCAAGTATAAAAGTATAAAAATAAGAAAAGAAGCTTTTTAGGAAAAAACAAATTCATTAATACTTATATAATATTATCTCTGTTTTATACTTGGTTTTATTGTGTTTGTCCACGGTAGCATTACTACAAGTCGGTGTTCAGACCAAAAACCCTCCTATTTATAAAAAAAAAAAAAAAAAAAGAAGCATGGCGATGCGAGAGTTGGGGGCGTGTTGCTACAGTGAGACAATAAAATACAATCCAGGAGGTCTAGTTTGAGGAATACCTCCATGAGTTTAAAGGCTTATCAGACTGCGCTTCATAATATTACAAGTGAGTATTGCAGCGCTCTGCAATCATTTTAGTTTTTTGTCGCAACAATCTTTAGAAACGGGGCTTTCACATTGAAAACTAATCTACAAGGAATGTGCGCTTCAAAAACCAATTGTTGATTCCCAACCCTACACAGTGTCTGTATCCTCGCTAACAGAGCCCGTAACACAGACCTCGTCATGTCTCCCCTCGGAGCAGTCAGAGCCAAAGCTGGTTAAAGCATTGTTGCATTTTTCTGCTGTCTTTTGCTGTCTGGTGTGATGCTGGGAGAAACAGCAGGACTTCTGCAGTGTTCCAGCTTAATGCTGCTTGTAGATATAAAAAAAAAAAGAAACTACAAGGGAAAATCTGCATGAAAGATGTGGTTCAGCCCAGTTCAATTTAGAGTGCAAGTTATTACAGGCTGGTCCACTTCATACTGTTATAATGTAGTAGTAATAATGTCTTGTCATAATGGCTTCATCCTAATGCTTCTCCTCTCCTGGCATGTTCCAGTACTATGCTCTTCAGATTCTGGAAACGGTTATCAAAACAAGATGGAAGATTCTCCCAAGGAATCAGTGTGAAGGTAAAAAAAACTACTTCTGTGGTACAATTCACAAAATGTATTTTAACCCTGTCAGCGCCGGTGGCTTTTGCTCTGCAGTGACGTGCGGTTGCCAAGTCGAGGAGTGTTCCCCCGCTAAGCATGCCGGTTTGTTTTCTGCTCGACTGGCCTGCTCTGGCAGCGGAGAGCCGGGTTTGATTCTGCACCGTAGCGGTTTCTTTAGAGAGGAAACGACAAAAAGAAAAGAGCAACACGTAGCACTGTTTTTTTAAAGCGTTGTGAAATGTGATGGGGCATCTTTAAAGAAGTAGTTGAAGATATTACTGTGCTGTCTTACGTTGCTTCTAATATGTTAAATGATTTTTTATATCTTTGAAATGACTCTGATTGCATATGTCTTTGTTTGTATGAAGTTAAGACATTCCCGGGGTTGTTGTTTTTTTATCGGCAAATTCATCTTATTGTCCCTTAAAGAGTGAAAGTGAACGGTCATGGATTAGCCTCTGACACAGCGTCTTTATGGGAACTACTGCTAGGAGTTGCCATTGTTAGGAATTTTCTGATCTTGCACATAGTGGCTTCTAATCTAAAGTCTTGGGAAACATTCCAGATTTTCATTCATAATTATCATGAACGGGAAGTTGTTTACCAGATAAGTTCTACTTTTAGAGATGTTCAGACTTTAAAGGCAGGGTTGGTAATCTTTAGGTTCTAGCTAGAGTACGCTAGATTAAAAGAAAATTATGAAACCGAAAAAACCCAGCCCAGTGTTGCCAACTCTTTTTCAATGAAAGTAGCTAGCAGCACTAGCTCCAAACGTTGCTAATTCTGTCACGAAAGTCTGAGAAACACCGACAACCCGTCCCTTTAAGGCCTCCCTCCAAAGCCACGCCCCCAGAACGATCATCATGAACGTAAACGAAGAAACATTGCTATTGCTAGCACTTACAGCCGTCAAGCTAGCAGTTTGTAGAAGACTCCGGTGATGAGCAATGAGAGCACAGGCAGAATACGGTATACTCACACAAAGGTATCTGTCCAATCATTACATTCGGGCCCAATGAAATGATTGGACGGGCTTATTTCAGTGGTATCGTGTCTCTTCTATTTGTCCGAGCTTTTGACTCGTTGACTGCTGTCAGGATGAGAATTTTAATGTTAAAATCCTTAACATTTGAAGATTACCTCCCCTGCCTCTAATTGTTGCCTTTAAGTTATCAGTTCTCTGTTTTCACAACAAAACATATTGTCCTTTGTTACAAACTACTGCTCGAGATATCTTAAAAAAAATACTGAAAACAGAGTGGGATGAAAATTTGGTTTGGAGCAAAAAGCAATGAGTATGCAATTAATTGAATAGCCATGTGTAAATCAGTTGATTCTGCCTCCCTCAATTCTTCTATAATTTTGCTCAAAATTCACTTTTTTTCTATTGACCTAAGACTTCCCTACTTCTGACCGTAGATGCCTGAATTTTGTTCAAGTGGCAAACCCAGTGCAGGGGTGACCGGCAAGTATGTCTTTTCCCCCCCTTGTGTCAGAGTATTGCCTTGTTCTCGGCTCCGCCCAGCACACCATCTTTTAGAAACACAGACACAGTCGCGTAAGAAATGCGAGGGTCTATAAGATACCTGGGGAAACGTTTAACTTCCACTGAACTGACCAAAGTGTTTGCCCTGTAGAAGTTCAGAGGCAGTTGCAGCCCAAATCCTTTTGTGTTTACCAAGAATGTGAATTGTAGGGGGGGGGGCACACTTGTAAGATTGTCCAGATTCATGTCGAGATGTGCAACACTTGTTATGCATGCTCACAGTGTCCTCCTGATATCTCTGTGTGTTCGCCAGGTATAAAAAAGTATGTTGTCGGTCTCATTATCAAGACTTCATCCGATGCATCAAATGTGGAGGTGAGTGAATTCAAATTACATCACTTTTGGAGTAATCATACGGGTTCTACTTAATAAATACTGCCAATAAATAAAATAGAATGACCTATTATTCTGATTAAATCTTCGGTTGATATTTAGGTTTTCTCCCCAAAAAATCTAAAATGTCTGTACTGTGACCCTCGATAGTAGTTAAGAAGAATAGGACAAACTCGTTGTTGTCAAGGTAACACTTATCTGCACTGATGCGTGCTGAAGCTTAACTTGCCACATCAGCTATGGTCCTTCTGTTGGCATTTGACATTTACGGCCATATTAACAAATCCGAGTGGATCTCATTCTGTTTTGTATCGATGTGACATCACAGCAGCCATGAGTAATGCTGGTAACCATGGCGCCGTGTCGTCCAGACCAAAGATGGTGAACCAGGGAACCGTTACGGCCGTGTTCCACCTGCACCAACGGCAATTTAGTCTTCCAGAGATTGCAGCGCTTGGCTATCTGCACTAAACACACACGCGCTAAACTGTTGGGAGTCAGCTGCAGTAAAAAGTCAAATGTGTGTCACTTAGGTTGGCTCTCACTCTGCTGTTTAACCCAACTGTAGGATCACGACACAGGTTGTTTGTGTGTGGAGTTGCCACGCCTTACTCAAGTTATAGCTGAATCTGTGTGTTTCCCTTTAGTACCTAATATTAGCAGAACTGTTACTGAACCCGAGCACAGAGACTAAAATATGTGTTGACGTGTCAGAAAAAGGAAAAGTGAAACTGAAGGAAAAGGAAACTTTGCAAACGAAGCGGTTAGTGGAGACAAACATGTTTGCTTGTAACCAGAGCTCAGCTGTGGATCAGGGTCTGCTCTGATGAATGGAAGAAATAGAAATGACTATCTCTCACTGCTACCACTACTTGGCTTTTGGTATTCAATGATGCTGAGTAAGCACAACACATAAAACCCAATCGGTCCCAGGTTATCTATTATTGAACCAACCAAGTTGACCAGGCTGTCTCTAAATGGTCTGTTATCCTAAACGGCACATCATTTGCTGCAGTGTAATAGACTATTATGTTGTATTATATTATTATTCCTCCCGAATGACAAAGCGTAACATTATGGATCTACTTTCTAGCAACACCACCCGTAACTGTTTGTGACCTCCAACCCTTGGTTTTGTTAAATTACATTTTTAATACAAACTGTATGACTAACATTCACTTCTGTATCCGTTTGTACTCTCAGAAAGAAAAGGTGTACATCGGGAAGTTGAACATGATCCTTGTTCAGGTAAGCCTTCAAACCTCACGACAATAACCTTCAGAACTACTTTTAGAATCACATATCAGCTGTTTTTACAGCTTACGTCCTCTTTGGCTGCTAAAATGCAAACAAGATACCAAAATCACATTCATCCGCATTTACAAAAAAGAAAGAATCCGTATCGCCTATATCACCATTAATGTAATCCATCATGGGAGCCCCAGCTGTTAGAACCACCTTGTTGTGCTCCCGTTAGGACACTACAACGGTTTCCCAGACCCATAGTGTTACATGTGAGCAAATCAATGAGCGGCACAAAGAACGGTTTCGATGAAGTTATCCACACTGACAGCAGCAGAGCCCACCGGAGCAGGAAACTCGGCTCTAGCCTAGGACCACCGAAAGCGACCGACGAGTGCTGAGGCACGGGCTGATACAGAGCTGATGTACAGAACCACATCTGAGGTCCAACTAGTGAGGCACGTTTTTTAGTCAGAATGATTTTTAAGAACTTCTAGAAAACAGATGAAGCCCTCTGACACTGGAGGTAATGCATAAACTAAAGGCTCTAAACCAGTAGGTTTATGTTAATGTTCATTGGTGTGGATTGTGGATTAATATCTGTAGCTGCAGTCAGCAATCCAGTGATTAACAAATAATCTTTCCACCACACACACTACCTCTAAATGTTGGACAATTTAGCACATCTGCATGTGAAACACAGCGCTCTAGATTAGTGTGTTTAGGTATCTTTCTGCTGCCTTATGTTTTGCAGTGATACTTTTTAACCTGAAGATGTCACTCTTAATAAGTCTATCTGACTCTAAAACTGTCCAGGCCTGCTAAGTTCATGGTTCCTTATTAAAAACCACATATTAATTTTTCTTGAATATCTGAGGCGAGACAGCCGGTGGTTCATAAATTGTCGCTTGAAAAGAGGATCAACTTAAAGAGAGAAAGAGCGGCAGTATTTACGGTGTTGATTGTATCCTTACTCCAGGAAAGCGCTGAGTCATGTAAGCACCGGGCTGTAGAAACTACGGGCCTCCCAAGCATCCTGGAGAATAGTTTCCAGTCATTGAGAACACATGGAAATGAGAGAAAAGGGTCAAATGTCCTATAAAAATAATTTCAATATTCTCCTAATTTATCAGCGCCCCCTCCGAACGTATAATTCTGCCACCTGAAAGTTATGTCCAGGAACATTTTCTCTTTTTGGTAATGTTTTTCTGCTATGCTAGCATTGCCTCTTCAAACGCAACGCTGCATTGTTACGTTAAAATGAGCCGTGACGTAAGACATGTAAGACAACTTTTGCAGCAGCAGCATCACAATATAGTGCTGTTTACATTATTCTACGATCGATTTGTCACAATACCTACGCATGTAAGAGATGATTTTCTTAAAGCGGCATGTTTTTAGTGCATGGCGCGTTTCCTTTCTGTCATAGCAGCTAGATCATCACTAGAAATGTCCTGGAAAAGAGCGGGAACGTGTGGAACCCTGAAGTATGGACCACAGTCAGGGAGACGTGTATCAGAACGGTTTTGATCCTGAATAATCCGACCACACTGACTGATTAGTGAATCTTTGCTCCTGAACGTTTAACAATTTGATTCCACCTCGTTGTGTGTTTGTACATCCGCTCGAGGGAGACCTCGATTGGCTCGCCGGCCACACGAGTGACTTTGCATTAATGCCAGTGAGACTTGAGTCACTGCCTGCGTCAGCAGAGCGAACGTCGCTCTGGCCCTCGGGGAATGTAGAGCTCCAGATTCCACACGGGTCCTCAGGAGGCTTTTTGGCATGTTTGTGCACATGTATGTAGTCTTTGCGGTGGTGTGGGGGGTATCTTTTGGTTCATGGGACTTTCATTAACACACTTTACTGCGTGATCAAAGTCAAACAGAGAAAGGGGGCCACATGCCTGGTTTGAGATTGAAAGGACGGATCGTTATTTTTAGCAGCAGTCGTCTCCTTCGTTTCTCATTTTCAGATCACATGTTAGTGGCAGTGGAATCTGTCACCGTTGAACTAGGGCTGAACAGTATATATCGATGATATGAGACTAGATGTTTTGGATATTGTAATATGGCATAAATGTTGTCATTTCCTGGTTTTAAAGGCTGAATTACAGTAAAGTGATGTCATCTTCTGACCTTGCCAGACTGTTCTAGCTGGTCTACAGAGAGCTGCAGGAATGAGTCCTTGAACCCGTTAATGAGTCAGCATTTCTGCACTTCCCAGTTCCCTCGTCTTGAAGTCAATGGGGTTTTTTAACAGGTTTTTGTTAGACGCCTGGAGAATAAGGTCTGTGGTTAACACGTGCATAAGAGAATAATGATGAATGAAATTATATGAAATGCAACGGAAAAATTCCATTTCCTTTTTTGTCGAGCGAACCAGTGTTCGTTTATAACGTAGTATTTGGTCAAAGGTGATATTCTCTAGATCGCCCAGCTGATCAGTGTAACGGTAACCCGTGTCTGTGTCCTGTGTCCGTAGATCCTGAAGCAGGAGTGGCCCAAGCACTGGCCCACCTTCATCAGCGACATTGTCGGGGCAAGTCGCACCAGCGAGAGCCTTTGTCAGAACAACATGATCATTCTCAAGCTGCTCAGCGAGGAGGTCTTCGATTTCTCCAGTGGCCAGATGACCCAGGTCAAGGCCAAGCACCTAAAGGACAGGTCAGCATGCTGCGTCTTCACGGGCCTCTGGAAGCCCCATCGTGTTCATGGTAGAAAGGGTTGAGGAAGGAACAGTGAAATCAATGTCTGAGTGTACCACCAAAATATGATAATTCATAGTTGTTGTTTTTTTTACCAGATTTAAGAGTCCAATACTTTCAGAACATCGTGAAATATAATCTCAGGGTGTTGGCATTTGAAAATATCGCAGCTGGCAATTAATCCAATGATGTAAAGCTGTGATCTGTAACAGACTTGCAGACAAACGGCCTTTGCTGTGCACTGGATCTTTGCCTCTTATTGACACTTATTGCCTCTTTTATTTCCACTACATTTGACACGTCAATCAGTATTATTACAAGTATTATGCAATCTATTTGCAATTTCCCTGTTGCCTGAATTGCAAGCAGTTGTGCTCTCTATTATGCTCAAACAGTATGAATGATTCACTTGTTCTGCCTGGCCGCACAGCGTAAGCAACTGGGATATGACCTCAGGCAGACGATTATTATCTAGATTAATTGTTTGATTAATTGTAGTGTCGGAAAATAGTAAAAAGTGTTTCTTAAAGTCCAATTTTATATCTTGTTTTATCCAAAAACCCAAAGATATTCAGTTTAATATCGTATACAACAGCTGTTTGTAGCTGTTCATCTCATGCAACTCGCCTGTATAGCTGAAATGGTGTTACGCCTAAGTAGCTCAACCACTAACTTTGACTGTGGCTTTACACACTGTTGTGTTTGCCTTTCGTGTGTCACATGAGACTGACGGGTGCAACTGTTGATGCGTCGGTCAAGAAGACGTTCTGTCGTGCTTTGATACAGACGATTGGCACATTTTTGTCAACGTAAATAAAAGTGTCATACAGTACGTTCCATAATGTGTCTTATTTCTTTCTTTCAGCATGTGCAATGAATTCTCCCAGATTTTCCAGCTTTGCCAGTTCGTCATGGTATGCGACTCCTCATCTCTTTCTTTTTTGGCATTGTTGTGCAATCATTTATCGCTGGTCACACACACAACAGGGTTTGTCCTTCAGCTGTTTGTCGTCTCATTGTTCGCACCGTAGGAAAACTCCCAGAATGCCCCACTGGTCCACGCCACTCTGGAGACCCTCCTACGTTTTCTCAACTGGATTCCTCTGGGGTACATCTTTGAAACCAAACTGATCAGCACATTGGTGTATAAGGTGTGTACACGGCTGCACGCGGCATCATGCAAAACAACGTTGACTTGGAATTGTTGGGATTCTGAACCATCGAATTGTTAAGCAAGCGTAAAAACACTCCAAATTATTGCTAGTTACACACACAACTTAAAGGATAGTTCATGTGTTTTGAATTGGGGATTTATGAGGCGCTTCTCTATAGTCAGTGTACTATAGTAAGCATACGCTTAAACTGATATTGATTCTTTTAGGTGTCTGTCTAGTCGTCAACTAAACATCCGCTTCCACTGTTTGCAGTTCTTGAACGTGCCCATGTTTCGCAACGTGACACTGAAGTGCCTCACCGAGATCGCCGGTGTGAGCGTCAGCCAGTACGAGGAGCAGTTCGTCACGCTCTTCACCCTGACCATGTGTCAGCTCAAACAGGTGGGTTGAGCTCACATTCCCAGATTCCCGTTCGTCGTACGCATACTAACCGAGATCTCCGTGTTCTCCACGTCCGCGCAGATGCTGCCCCTGAACACCAACATCCGGCTGGCCTACGCCAACGGGAAAGACGACGAGCAGAACTTCATCCAGAACCTCAGTCTGTTCCTCTGCACTTTCCTCAAAGAGCACGGGCAGCTCATTGAGAAGCGGCTCAACCTCAGAGAAACGTTAATGGAGGTATGAGAGGATGCCGTCATTCAGGGGTGTGACGGGCGGGAGGAAATGTACGGATGTGTCCGTCCAACAAAAAGGGAGTCCCATTTAGATAATTGTCACATTGCTCCCTTGCTCTTGCTTTCCCCCCCCCCCCCAGGCCCTCCACTACATGCTGCTGGTGTCCGAGGTGGAGGAGACGGAGATCTTCAAAATTTGTCTGGAGTATTGGAACCACTTGGCTGCTGAGCTCTACAGAGAGAGTCCCTTCTCTACGTCCACGTCCCCGCTGCTCTCCGGAAACCAGCACTTTGACGTTCCACCACGCAGACAGCTCTACCTGCCCGTACTGTCCAAGGTAACACACACACTCACACACACACAGCTCACTGCTTATCACCTATAGCCTTCATTGTCCCTTTCTAACGTGGCGTTGATATGAGTAATCAATGCATTTTTAGGATATCAACAACATGGCGATAAGCTGACAAACTCAACATCCAAGGATTTTGAATTTGCACTGCTGTAGTGTGTGTGTAAACGCGAGAGCAGTGAGGTTGTTCTCCGCTGTGTGTACATGCTGACAGGTGTTTATCTCTTGCGACAGGTGCGTCTGCTCATGGTGAGTCGGATGGCCAAGCCGGAGGAAGTGCTGGTGGTGGAGAATGACCAGGGAGAGGTGGTCCGAGAGTTCATGAAGGACACCGACTCCATCAACCTCTACAAGAACATGAGGGAAACCCTCGGTACGACTCAGTGATAAGACTCCACGGCCTTCAGCCTCAGTGTTGTTTTTCTCAACAAATGCAGTTTTTAAATCATCACAGCCACAAAGACTGATAGGATTTCCAAATGGCTATTTATTCATACATCCATTTGTAACTTCGTCATTGATAATGAGGCTTCCCACATGCATCTGGGGCTTTTTTCTGTGTGGAGTTTGACTCCAGAGTGTCAGAGAATAATAGTTTTTGTCCTTGTTCTCAACTGAACAGGCTGTAAGTCCACCGTACACATACTCATAGTACAGATGTCCTTTGTCCTCCGCCACCCTGCAGTGTACCTGACTCACTTGGACTACGCCGACACAGAACGCATAATGACGGAAAAGCTTCACAACCAGGTGAACGGCACCGAGTGGTCCTGGAAGAACCTCAACACGTTGTGCTGGGCCATCGGCTCCATCAGCGGGGCCATGCACGAGGAGGACGAGAAGAGGTTCCTGGTCACTGTCATCAAGGTATGAACAAAAACAAAAAACATTTTTATGAGGACCAACGTGTTAGTTGTTGCACAAGTTACGCTTTTACAAGGCAACCAGGCATCAGCTTTTGGTTGCCGAAACAGAAAATACAATTGCCACTTTTTAGTCACCAGATATTTTGAGTAATTTTAATGAAGAAAATGGGACATGCATACATGTCATGTGCATGTTGTACATGCTTTGCAGTATAATTTTCCACCCAGCTCAAAGATGCTGCGATACTTTGCCTCCCAAAAATCTCTGTTTTGTTTTTCGTTCGGCTTCATCTGGTTCTTTCTCAGTTGAATCAATTTGCTGAATCGTTGTTTCCTGCCTCTGCTCACGCGAGTAAACGCACCAATGCTCACGCAGCCTCGACTGGTTCTGGTTCTGACTGTAACAGCAATATTTCAACATCACTAATGCAACAAATATGAAAAATATATTTATTTTAGGGATGCAGGTTTTGCTGTTGGCTGTCCCTACATTTATACGTTAAAAAAAAAAAAAAAAAGCCAAGAATTTGTTGCCAGTTCCTCAAAAAGGTTGCCAGTGGCGACCTGGGCAACCCTTACTGTCGAGCCACGTTCACGTCAGTATAATTCCTAAATTGGATACTGCTAAAAAATGATGATTCAAATTATAAGTCAACAATGTCAATAATAGATTCCCTTTTTGGTCAGGTCGTTTGATTTTTGAAGCTACCGTTTTATAAAACACTAAACATTGACACCCCCCCCCCCCCCCTTAGGTTTTGTGTCTGATTCTGAAAACCCTTGTGTGTCTCAGGATCTGCTGGGTCTGTGTGAGCAGAAGAGAGGAAAGGACAACAAGGCCATCATAGCCTCCAACATCATGTACATCGTCGGCCAGTACCCACGCTTTCTCAGAGCCCACTGGAAGTTTCTCAAAACCGTTGTCAACAAACTCTTTGAGTTCATGCACGGTGAGAGACGGTTTTGAAAAAGCGTAATGCATTTGGTTTAAAAATGTTGGATCTGTAAATATCATATTTTGTCAATTTGGATGCCTCTTGACTTAATATCGTCCTTCATCAGAGACCCACGACGGTGTTCAGGACATGGCCTGTGACACGTTTATCAAGATTGCCCAGAAGTGCCGGCGCCACTTCATCCAGGTGCAGGTGGGCGAGGTGATGCCCTTCATCGACGAGATCCTCAACAACATCAACACCATCATCTGTGACCTGCAACCTCAGCAGGTCAGCAAATACACACACACACACACACACACACACACACACACACACACACACACACACACACAGAGAGAGAGAGAGACCCAGACCCACAATTCTTTCTAAAAATGATTTCTCTTATTTGTCTGTTTGTGTCCAGGTGCACACGTTCTATGAGGCAGTAGGTTATATGATTGGCGCCCAGACAGATCAGGCTGTTCAAGAGCACCTGATAGAAAAATACATGCTGCTGCCCAACCAAGTGTGGGACAGCATCATCCAGCAGGCCACCAAGGTAAGAGCCCGGTGTACTACCACATACTGCAGACGTTTACCCAATTTACCAGTCTATACGTGTGTTAATCCTTTACCTCTGCTGCTGCCCCCCCCCCCCCAGAACGTGGACATCTTGAAGGACCCGGAGACGGTGAAGCAGCTGGGCAGCATCCTGAAGACCAACGTCCGAGCCTGCAAGGCCGTGGGACACCCCTTCGTCATCCAGCTGGGCCGGATTTACCTGGACATGCTCAACGTCTACAAGTGCCTCAGCGAGAACATCTCTGCTGCCATTCAGACAAATGGTAAGGGAGGTGTGCGTTTGTCGCCATGCCGATAACACGTCTCTGGGTTCATCTCGTTGTTTTTGACGCCATGATGTCACATGAATGACCGTAAAGGCTAACCGTGGCACTTTTCAACCTGGACCCTCTTTAAATTGGTCCGGTATTAAAGGGGAGCGCTGCAGCAGCCAAACGGGCTGCTGTGTAATTGTTCCAGACAATTCTGCACCGTCAATGGATGTCCACTAAAAGTGCTTTTCTTTTGCCACTAACAGTTATTATAAGTGTCTGACAACATTATGCAAAAGTCTCTCCAGAGACGGGATCAAAAAGTGAAGTAAAACAGTTTTTGTCTTACCAAGTCTCGCTCCAGGAGAAGTCTCGTTCTGACTTGTTGCCTGACGACAACGTTGGAGCTGTCAGTAAGAGTTGGAGAGATGAGCGCAGCGAAGTTTCTTGTGTTTGAGTACAGAAAGCGTAGCACTACCATTTCTCGTGGCTGATTTCGACGAGGTGGAATGAGGCCTAACTCTCTCACGAGACTTCACTAGGTGCTCAGTACTTATTAGTTATTACCTATTAGTCACTGAACCACTTTTTAACCCCAGGAACTCTCCACATGGACTAGAAACCTATTGAGGAACTCAAAATCCAGTTCTGGGGACATTAGGCTCGGGTCCTTCTCTCTATAGTCTGGGAACCTGAGGGGTGTGGTTTGCAGGGATGGTCGTCACTGATTGGTCACACACACACACACTCATGTACCGCTTCATTCATAAAACAAGGAAGTGTTCTATTATCGATTTAGGAGGAGAGGAGAGCATTTGTCTTTGTTTGACGACATTAAAAGTGAAACTCATTTAAAGAGGTCACGTGAGTGAGCTGAGAGGGGGAGCAGTAAAAAAAGGAGGATGAGAGAAAGTTATTCTCTGATTGTCATTAGAACGTAACTGCTGAGAAACAAACACTCAGCAGATGATCGACTGTGGATACAGATGCTCTTAGTTACTTTCCTCCTCTGCATTTCACTCATTACAACCTGCGTCAGTAAATACCACGCAGCAGTAAAATGTCTTCTTAGTGAGACAAAAGCAAGGTTTTTATACGTGTTTTTAGATGACGCAGTACACTGAAGAGTGTGTACTTTGTGTAAATCCAGCCCAGTCTCAGTGTGTTGCAGGGTTTGAAACATAACTAAATGCTTTCTTCATCGTGTGTTAAGTTCCTTTTTTGGTGCTAAAAAAAAACATATTCTAGCCTTTACTTATGTTCTTGTCACGCTGTTGCATTTTAGTATTTTGTCATTTGGTGGTGGCATTTTGGTTTGCAGGCCGGCAATACTGCATCCTCCTTTTTTTTTGTCTTGCATGCGCCTGTTGTGGTGACTCATCTCTGAGTCTTTCTGTGCTTGAATGTGAGTCGACTGAACGTATGAGGTCTGCCAGCGATGATCAAGCATCAAGGATCTCTGTGCTTGCATCAGGATAATGTTTGCTTGACTTTGATCCGTCTTTATCGGACAGTGAGAACAGTGTTTTCTGTTCCTTTGAGAAACGATGTATAGATTAAGTAACAAGAGGGAGAGATGATTCATTGAATTACATACCTGATGACAAATCTAGAAAATTCATCACATTGATGCAAAAAAAATCTTCAAAACGTTTTTCAATTGTTTTTGTTTGCTGTCATGAGTACTTTCACACAGAACATGAATATTATGCTACAAAAAATCAGTATTATTTATCATTTTTCAATTTTCAGATATTTCCAAATCAAGACTGCAAACTTTATTCCTTCTTTCAACCTTGACAAAACTAGTCAGACCAGATCCACTCCTTATTTTTTTACCTTTCACAATAAAAGCCCTAGACATATTTCACAATAAAAGCCCTAGACATGTACACTGCCTAAATGTAAACCAGAGGGAATTCAATCAGAGCATTTTACTAAAAGCAAAGTGAATGAAGCAGCTTACAGTAGCTCAGGCTATACAACAGTTTGGCTCAGACTCTGCTATGGGTCAGTAGGATCCTGGTAGTCCTGGCCAAATCTATTCAAACCTTTAATTGGGCACGTGTCCCCAATTCACATCACTGTGTGTAAAGGCCGTAATAGTGCCTTGAAGCAGTCTTGCTCAATGCTTTCTAACATTGCCTACAATAGCCTAAATGCTGTCATGGCTTAGCACAACCAGAGATCCACTGCCACACAAACCCGCTCCTGTGGATCCTTCACTGCTCCACCAGTCAGCATTTATCTGACGCACAGGTCTGCAAATGCTTTGTGGTACCCCCCCTCTCTCTGCGCCCCTTCCTCATGTGAAACCTTTCAATGTGTGTCTCCCCTTTTGCATTGCAGGTGAGATGGTGACGAAGCAGCCCCTAATCCGGAGTATGAGAACGGTGAAACGAGAGACGCTGAAACTGATCTCAGGCTGGGTCAGCCGATCAAACGACCCACAGATGGTGAGGAATCCCTCTGAAAGCCTCAGCCACTCTAAGCTCACAAAAAGAAATGCAGCGTTCTGAACGTACTTTAATGAGCTAGCGGCAGCGCTATAGTTTTACTGTCGTGTCCTCGGGAGATGCTGCACACTCTGTGGCAGTGGATGAAACTGTTGACAGTCGAACTAATCCAGTTGGTATTTTTGGATCAAACGCAAAGATTTAATTTCCTCGTGGCAGACTTGGATGTTTGTGCCCTCAACCGCGTTTTAATCAGCATCACAATAACATCCATCGTGTGTCAGAGTTTATTAAAAAAAAAAAGAAAGAAATTATAGCTGCACCTTTCACAATGCACCTTTCAAAAGTGAGTCTTTCTTCAAAGTCTTTACAGCGCCCTGTCTTTGTAGAGTGCTAAAGGGAAGACGCATCTTCGTAGGCCAACCCCGGAGTTGGCGCCGTACTGGTTCTGGAGTACAACAGAACATAAGCTCTGTGGCAAACAAACGTTTATGTTCTGCAAGATCATTTTCACGAACTAGGGATGCTCCAGCTTTGGGTACCGATCTGATACCAGTGTTTCATTAATAAGCTGTAAGCTTCACTGTGTGGAAGTTATGTTAAGGCAACATCAGCCTTGATTTAAACATTGCTTCCCTAACTATGGAAGACAAAATGTAACGCGTTGCTATTTATCATTAGATAAATTGTACACCAGCAACTTGGTAGAAAATCTTCAAAATAAACAGGAATTCAAATTCCAGTATAAAATGCATATACAAATAGAATTTAATTGAAAAGAAAAAAGTACTCTACTTCTCAGTAAACATTGTAAACATGAGTTTATGGTCTCAATCTCTAGTTTCAAGTCTTCTTCAATACAGCATGATGTTCATTTAGTAAATGATGATCCATTTAGAGTCAAACAGACCATAAATCAGGGGATGCTTTAGGGCGGGGCTACCTTGTGATTGACAGGTCGCTGCCCTACCAGGTCTCTAGGTCCCTCCTCCTCTTTTCAGCTTGTTTTAACCAAAGACCTTAATTTAGACATCTAACCAAAAACTCATTAACAAAACAAATTGACCTTGAGACTACGGAACAGGAAGTGCAAAAATGCTGACTCATTCCCAGGTCTAAGGTCTCACTTTGCAGGTGGAGGCTCCCATTCTGCTCTGCCTCCGTTGTTGCCGTGTTGCTCTCTGCTGATCCCTGCTGTTGTTTCTCAGGTCGGGGAGAACTTTGTCCCGCCGCTGCTGGACGCCGTCCTCATCGACTATCAACGCAACGTCCCCGCCGCCCGCGAGCCCGAGGTCCTCAGCACCATGGCGACCATCGTCAACAAGCTGGGGGGACACATCACCAGCGAGATCCCCCAGATCTTTGATGCCGTCTTCGAGTGCACCCTCAACATGATCAACAAGGTGAGATCAACCGGTCACAGCTCGGTTGGTTTTTGGTTCACTGGA